TTTTTTCGTTTTGGTGTTTTTTTTTTTTTTTTTTTTTTTTTTTTGGGGGGGGGGGGGGGTTTGCGCGGGGAGAGAAGGAACTCTGGCAACCTGTAGGCAGTGATACCACATTTGCTTTCGTCTCATAAAGAAGACTGTCGCGTGAGCGATCCATTCTATTGCAATCGTTCGTCTTCCTAACTCGGGTGTCATGTGCGGGCTTTCGAGAAGCAAACAGCGAGAAACATTGTGTTGAGGGAAGCATCTTCAACATCCCTCTCACACTGATACCTGACGTCTCTACTGTGGTTAGTACTCTTTAATATGCCCTCAAGTTGGATGTAGTTCAAACAAGTGAATACTAAAATCCGTATTAGAAAAGCGCCCGAGTCACATATGCGAATTATGTTTGCCGTCTGACGTCCTGAAGTCCAACGGCCTCAAAACATATTTCGTAAGCTGTATGTCAAACTTTAGCTCATACTGGCATGAAACTATCCCTCACAAATACAGTCTCAATTTTCATTGGACGGCAGTCTGGCGATGGCCTTTTGTGAAATCATCTTGGTGTGATGAGACACTCGACACTGTCCTGGACTGTAGTACAACCCGAAAGTCTGGTAGACAAGTGACAACTTATGTATGACAAGTAGCGAAGTGCAAGCAACGCATCTCTCACAAGGTGTCAGGGCTGCATGCATCTCGGCATATTTTGCTGTAGCTGGACAAGGAATTGGCCTAAATCATGGGACAAAACCTCTGCCGTGAACTATCACAGCGGTTGGCTGTACAGAGTTGTTACTCGGCATTTGTGCTGACCATCTGTGGAGGGCTGCCCGAACCAAATTCTTGTGAGACAACTATTCTGACACAACTTCCTTGGTCTGTAGAATGTGATCAAGGAGACGAATAGTTGGGATTGATCGAACTCTACCTTGAGCTAAGCTAGGAGAGGTGTTATGTGTGAGATGGATTTTGATTGGTGGTGACTTGATCATTTATTTCTTTTTTGGAGAATGTCACGATGATGCTGTTGGAGGGTTGTTTGTTTGATGACAGAGTGGCGTTGAATGGCGGGCATTCTTGAGGCTATGTCGTTGCCAAGAATAGCTACGCCAGCAGTTGTGGCGTTGGAGGCATCTTGTCGGGTGGCCAAGACCTCGACGACTGCTGCCGATTCAGTCCCGTCACTAAGCATTGCCGTCATCGTACTGGTCTTTTGTTGTATTGAGGAACGTCAACGCTAAATGCCGTACTCCAAGCGCCTCCAGCTGTTTTCTTTTCTTGTTTGGGAGACTTTGTTGAACATTCGGATGAAGCCCAAATCCGTGGCTTTGTCTCAAGTCGTGATCTCGGTTACAAACCACGATAAGACATTGTAAGAGTGCATGGAGCGCACGTGGAATCTGTTCCTTTGCTTGTGTGGGCTCAATAGGTAGTTCCTGGTATTGTGAGTCTGCGCTCCAAATTGATTATCCCCAGGCGCCAAGCTCATCGTCTACAGAGGGCCCTTGACAAGACCCAGTTAACATACCAGGCCGACGCCTTGAAAGATTAAACGGTCAAACTACCTACCTAGGTAGGTATCTGGGTAGCGAATTCTGTTCTTCCTTTTGCGGCGGGTATCCTCCATAGATCAACACGGGCGATGGCTCAAATAGATGAAGTGCACCAGCAAGATGTCGTAAGAAAAACCCTCGTACCCGTGTTGCCGTTGATGGCCTGTGTGTATTCGATCAGCAACAGGGTTTTGGGGGTTGATGGACAGGAACCATCGGATTGAGGGATGAGACCTTGGCGCCTCTTCTGCGGCGACTTTGAGCGGGTCGCGCACGACCCACGGATGACCCATCTGTTTGCACATTGCATTCCTGTAAAATCAGGAGGTCTGTGAAAGGGGGAGCAGAAAGCGCCAATCGATGACGTAAGAGCAGGCGATCTACAAAGTAATAAAGGGGGGTGGGTGACTTGAAGAAGAGTCAGACAAGTGCGTTGGAAGATGTCAAGTTGGATAATGCGAGGCTGACGCTTCTACCAGGGGCGAGAGAGGCTTTAATGATCAGACGCAGGCAGGCACTGGGATTCTCCCCTGTCGTTGTTTCCGCGACTGAGCGGGTGTTCGGTTCGATCTTGTCGACCTTGGCACGCGGGTTGCAAAAAAAGGCCGCGCATCTGTGTGTGTGGTTGTGGGTGTGGGGTGTGCGGCCTTTTTTGCAACCCGCGTGCTTGGCAGGTTATTGTCGAGGAAAAGCCGTCTGGTTGGTTGCGGATGGATGGACCCAAGAGCGGCGCCTGCTCCACCTGGTCTGCCAAATGCAGTACTACACGCCGAGTCTCCATGGACCGCCAAGACCGTTCATCGTTGACCGTGGGCCGTTGTACGGGAGTGAGTACAAGGTTAATGCCAGCTGCTGCACTTCCAGATGTCGGGGTCAGCTTCTGATCCAGCTTCGGCTGCAGCTGCCTGATGTGACCCCATCCGACCTGGCGCACCAAAATGTGGCTTTTGATGTTACAATATGTCGAAAATATCGCAAAATCCGTCAAATCTCCTGGTTAAATCAACGAGTGCCAGCAAAAGAGAGCAGCGTCTCCACTCTATTTCCCTGCTTATAGGTACCTAGGTACCTAGGTAGTTAAATTGCTTGCCCACACCCATTGGGGTAAACCCGCCGCTCTGCGCGCCACAACGGCCCCAGTTGCCCCCCAGTCTGGGGCCCAAGAGAACCAGACTGGATATCAAAAGCCATTGTGCAATCCAGCGCAAAGTTGAAAAATTTTGAGGAACAAAGTCGCACAAAATGACGTAGTACTACCAAAACAAGAATGCGTGCTTGCCGGATCGTTGGCGATTCTTGGCCATCATGGCTTTTGAACGCATCCGACAAGCATGTTACACTGCAATGTGCATACACCTCCTGAAGAGCTATTATTGTTACGGATAAATTACCAGACATGTATGTACTACTACTCCGTACCAGACCAGACCGACGAGACTCCTGCCGCAGGAAAGAAGCTGTACGGCCAGGAGCAGTGACCCACACTAAGCTCGAGGCATCTTAGATTGACAATTTCAACTTCTGACAACCTTGGCTGATTCCATGCATGTCCACTCGGTGGGAATTTGTGGTAGGAATACTAACCAAGTTGTCAAACGGTGGTCAAGGCTGCGCAGGAAACACTCTGCCTGGAACAAACATGGCACTGTCCAGGGGATGGAACATAGTCGGAGCCGGTGGACACGGATCAACATAGTATCAACACGGAGTTGCGGGAAATGACTCAACTGTTTGCTCTGCATCGTTCTGTATTGCTCCGTGCAACATGAAGCAACAAGCAACGCCTGAGTGTTTGAGAACGTGCCATCAGCACTCAGCACCTGTGCGTGCTGTCCTTCCATCTGGTGCTCTGTAGTAGGGAGCGACAGCGCTCAGCGCTCGAGTTGGTGACTAGACTGCTGAACTGCAGGATGACTACTTAAGTAGCTTATCCATGTGAATGTGCGAAGGTGCAGCTTTTGTAGCGGACCGGGGTATGAGCCAATAAGGAGCCAATTATTAAAAGGCACCTAACCACACTAAGAAATCATATGATGATAGAAGTACTCGTAATGCGGTGAGTTACAAAGAGCTACATCGCAAATATTACAGCCGAACATAGCGTATGGGGCCTTTTTGACGCTAAAAAGGTACCCGTTAGGTATCGCAGAAAAAATGGGGCCTATACCTGACTTGCACCTTAGCACAGCCAAAGGGGTATCCAGCTGGCTTCCATCGCTGTTGTTGCGGCACCTTGAGGGGACCGCTAACAAGTGTCACAGGCCAATCAGACCGAGTTACATTGCTGAGGTTATGGGGCGAATGGGTCCCCGCAAGGTGAGCAAGCTCCATGAGACCTCCCAGCACCCCAGTGCCGGTTCGCGGTTCTAGCATTTGACGCCAGTGGATCCAGATGTCCCTCACAGCCAGACTCGAGCAACTCTCCAGGTCCGCTGCTCCATACTCCCCTTGAATTTGTATGTTACATACCGCCTTGGATCGCCATGGCCGCTTGGCAGTTTGTTAGAAGCTGAGCAGATCAGCCGATGGTGTCGGCGTTGGCGGCCAATAGCCATCAATGGTTATTGGAAGCCCCGTCGACTCCTCGTCTACTAGGTGCAACACACCAAGGCGGCCAGACAACATGGCAACATTGATGTGGCGCATTGTATTCGTAAACCTCAAGCCGCCCCGCCCGCCTTCTTCTTTAGCAAGCTCAAACAAACTCAAGCCAAACCAGACACTGCGGCACCAAGCCATTAAAGACACCACCCACCCCTCTCGCCCTCCCCCTTCCGGCTGGTGGCACCAATTGACTCTCCACCCTGGCACTTGAGCGGCCCGAGTGCGCTCACCCCCTTCTGAAAGTCAACCAGCCTGGCTTGCCTGGTCAACTGGTCACTTTTCGCTGCTCCCGTCACTGGTGCAGCTCGATTCTTTTTTTTCTTTTGAGCCTGGCTGTTTTATCTTTATCATTTGCGTTTACGCCTCTCGCTTCTTCCATCGCACCAGCTTCGACTCGCCTTTGGCCCTTTCCGTTCTTTTTATTCTCATCCCCCGCGAGGCCCTCTCGTTTGCGGTGCCGGAACTGTCTAATCGGGTACCCAGTTCTCCATTACCCAGTTCACCCCGTTCGCGCGCATGACAGACTCGACTTGTCTCAACTGAACTGTCAAGATAATGCTCCATTAATTCCCCGGACTCACGTCTTCAGGATTTGAAACGCCCCGTGGTCAAGCCAAGACACTACCTTGGGGCTTTGAGCCTCGGTGCCGTGACAGTTGGAAGCACTTTCCATTTGCAGACGACGAACTTTGCTTTTAGGCAAGAGTCTGTTATTCCACCAAACCCAACCAACGCGGGACTACGACCAGCAGGCTGTCGCATATCTCTTTGCCATCTGTGTTGGCTTTTCGTCCTGCCAAGTCGACTTGCTGTCAGCTCGGCACCAAGGTATAGCCTCTTTGCCTCCCGGGATTCGAGCCCATCCGTTCGCCACTCGTTAATTCACCACATCCAAACGAAAACGAAATTCGGGCCAATTTCAACTGTCAGCCTGGTTCTCGTTACTCTATCTTCATTATACAGAGAAACTCAAGTCAATTAGTCTCTGGTCATTTCCGGTGAGGATTTTACGTCAGATATCTGTCTATGCCATTTCTTGGCACGGGGCCAATGGATAAAATGCTACACCCTCAAGGACGACGAACCATGTTGTCTCGGCTGAGACCGAGGTCGGTCGTCTTCATCATTTTGGCCGCACTATCGCTTTACTTTCTGGTCTTTAGCGGTCCTTCGCCAAGATTGCACATTGTCCCTTACACTAAGGGTGGAAACACGGAGAGGCAAGGTTCGGCAAAGGACACGAAAAACAACCAACTCGACGAAAATCCGCTCTCCAACCCCAAGCCGGAGGACATTACCCTCAAGCCCGACCCTGGCCATCACCATGAAGAACCTACTGGTACTCGTGCGGGTTGGGAAATCGACATTGAGGATCTGACCTATTGGTCCGACCCAGACGATCCGGAGACCAACGACGACGTCCTGCCTGGCTACGAAACCGACGGCACGCACAGAGAAGCCGGTGATGTTGCCAGACTACAGCACGAGAAAGACTTGCGAAAAATGTGGCGTTACGCTTACAAAACCACCGCAAAGTACGTTTTCATCCGTCGTATTGACTGTCCTTTCATTGCCAATTTTGTTGAAAAGGCGCTAATCTTGTACGCCCAGACTCGCAAACTCCAACCTAATTTATGGCAACACACTCAAGCAGCTGATCCAAAAGGACAACCGAACCGAAGAACAAAGCAAGTGCCTTCGTGAGGATCCGAATGTGAAATTCAAGTTGAGTGATGATCAGCCTATGCGATTTAACCCTTATCCCGACTACAATGGCGACGAATGGAAGAAAAGTGGCCATGCCCCTTATGTGCCTTGCAAGGGTCCCACCGGCGAATTTGTTGAAGACTTGCTCGTTTACCGCGGTCGCCCAGCGAGATGGCCTCAGACCAAGTTCGGGGGCTACGATTTGTTTGGTATTGACCCCAACTTGTGCTGGGAACGTGATTCCCGCCTAGGCCAGTACGGGCTCCAGGAGATGAAGAAGAAGGTAGGGGGATCGTATAAACCTATTGACTGGGATAACGTCAACTGGGGTGAATTACAAAAGCACTGTTTGAAGCAGAATGCTGACCGATTCGACATGACTATGAGCAAGAGGAATCCTTATCTTAACAACTACTCCGAGAATCAACAAAAGGGAACCCAGTCCGAGCACATCAAGACAGAAGCGCCAAAAATCAAGGGAAGATCCGTTGGCGCGAAGCAGGGCCAGATCACCAAGGAGTCTCGAACGGCCCTCCTGCTTCGATCGTACACGGGAATGGAGTACACCGACAACGACAGACAAGTCATTCGTGCCCTGGTGAGCGAACTCAGTCTCAAGACTGGTGGGCAATATGAGGTCTTCCTCCTAGTCCACTCCAAAAATCAAAGTCTTCCCATTTTTGACGATGACGAACTGTACCAAACCGTCCTCAAGGAGAATGTGCCTGCAGAGTTCCACGGCATGACAGTCTTGTGGAACGACCACCAGGTCTGGGATGTGTACCCTGAGTTGACAGACGAGTACGCACGAGCCGTCCACAGCGCTCAGTGGCTTTCGGTCCAGAAGTTCAGTCAGGATCACCCACAATTCGATCACATTTGGAACTGGGAGATGGATTTCCGATACACGGGTCACCACTACGACCTTCTCGAGAAGCTGTCCGCATTTGCGAAGAAACAGCCTCGGAAATATTTGTGGGAGCGAAACGAGCGTTACTACATTCCTGAGTACCACGGCGACTATGACACCTCCTTCCGCGAAGAGGTTGCAAAGAAGCGAGGCAACAAGACGGTTTGGGGGCCTCCTGAGCTGCCGTTTGTCAGGCCTGTCGGTCCTAAACCCCCGGTGGCATCTCATGAAGAGGATAACTATGAATGGGGTGTCGGTGAAGAAGCCGATTTCATTAGTGTTGGCCCTATTTTTGATCCTGTCGACAGCCAGTGGATTATATCAAATCACGTTTGGGGTTACAGCGACGAAAACCACAAGTCTACCGACCTGCCTCGACGCACAACCATCGTCACCCAGTCCCGAATTTCAAAACGTCTCCTTGACATCATGCACGTTGAGAACTTGCGTGGTCAGCATGTCGCGTCTGAGATGACTGCGCAGACGGTTGCATTGCTTCATGGCCTGAAGACTGTCTTCGCTCCCCATCCAGTTTTCATGGATCGGGATTGGAAGGGGGGATTCCTCAACAACTGGTTCAACCCTGGACCTGATGGCGAATCTGGTGGCCGTGGATCACCGTTTGGCTGGGGGAGGGAGCGTCGTTTCCAAGGTACCACTTGGTATTACCGTGCTGAGCCGCCAAACCGACTCTACAACAACTGGATGGGCTGGGTTGACAACGACATTGGGGGGGCCGACTGGGAGAAGAAACATGGACGCACCTGCTTGCCATCGGTTATGCTTCACCCCATCAAAAATACACAACCCACAAAGCCCGGCCACAAGTCTGGATTCGAACTGGCTATTGGCTAAGGGACTGGCCACTGATTTTGGCAACGTCACTCCATAGCATATTGGTGGTCACCCCAAAGCCTGCATTAGCTAGCCTATCGCGATTGCTCTGATTCTTTTCATTCCTCTGCTTCATGGCGAAACCAGCTTCGTCCATTTGGGATACCCAGTTCGTTTTCTTCAAATTCATTTCAATCTTTCTACATGCAGCACTCTCGTCTAAAAGGGATACTCGAGAAGGGCAGTGTTTCTGGTACTACTTTTTGCCAGGTGTTTTTATTACACCGTGTTTATGAAGTGTCACGGCTTCCCTGGTTGCAGGTGAAGGATGCAGTGTACTTATGATGGTTTGCAGCTCTTCGATTTGGCCCTGGGCAATAAATGAGGGTGGGAGGTGTTGCGTGACGATGAGATGCACAAAATCGGCGTTCGTTCATTATATGTCTTATTGAGGTTTTTTTTTCACGGTTTTATATGGACCGCGGCATCATCATGTGGCCGCAGCGCTCGTCGCTCGCTGCAGGCACAGAATTTCATTGCGACGCGCCTAGACTGGCAAATTTCTTGTTCCATTGTTTCTTTCAGCCTTTGGGAGAAGCTGATGCCCGAAATACCATGTCAAGAGCATTTAGTATATATAGGGAGAAAAGCCTGCCCGACATGGTCGATGACAATAATATGTAACATGGAATGTGCTTGTGAATTAATTTGGTGAATGAAGGCTGTGCTGCTACTATGTTGCCGGAGGTGATGAATGACTGTAGAAAGCCTCAGAAGTAAAAAAAAATTGGCAAGAAATCATGGATAATTGTAGGCAACAGACAAAATATGCAAATTAAGGCCCGGTGTCATTGGCGCACCCAGATGGTGTCGAGCAGAGTCAAAATGACGCCTGGTCCAAGTCGCGGCATTAATGGATCATCCACCAAGCCAGGTACTTTTGCCCACGCCGACATTCCACCATCAAACAACTTTTGTTGCACCATGTCGTGAACTAAAGAGCATGAACCCGCCGCCCACGGTAAGCCTGTCCTTTCAGATTCAATCTTGTCTTCCAAGATGCCAGTGTCCAGAAAGAACGACTCGTTGTTAACTCGCCAAGACACCTACTCCGCGTCGGTTCCTGCTGGCTAAACGACCATCCGCCTCAGAAACCCCGGCGTCGCAGGCATCGCAGCAGTTCCATTCAACGCCGCGCTTCGGCTCGTCATCTGTACCGCGGCATGCGCAGCGCCGGGCGCATGACCTTGAGGATGTCGATGAAGATGGCGACGAGTCATATGACGAGTCGCCACGGGACGAGGCTGAGCCCAAGGGAAGCCGGTTGCAGGATACCATTGAGCTCAAATCCGACGACTTGATGTCGCAGGATACGGAGCGTCTTTCTCAAAATCAGTACTCTTCAGGAGACGATGTCGAGGGTGCCCCCGGTACCGAATCGTCGCCACTGTCGCCGGACAGAAGGGAGGCCAAGAGACGAAGGGTATCTATCTCGCCCGCGCCGTCAAGCTCCCTCGATACCCCGGAGCAAGCAGTCACGCCTGCACAGGGACACGCATCCTCGGCAGATGGCAGCAGGTCAGAGTCAGAGTCTCCAGAGAGCCACGAATGGCCAACCCGTCAACACCAACCCGTCTTCCAACCGGCGCCACGCTTCAAGCCCACTGACAGTGAAACGTCCCTTCCCGTCCTCCCCGAAGCATTCTCTCCCCAACATCGCGGCGTGAGCTATCTCCCCGGCGGACACGCCGCCCAGCTGCAAGGGTGGCTGTCTGAAGTGAAAGGGTGGGAAGGGACGCGGGACGAAGACTCTGTGCTGAGGCTGACGGTGGACGATGTAAGTCCCGGTGAACACATGTATCTCGTTAGGGGGAGGTTAGGGGTGTCTGACGATTTGAAGGCGTACATACTTGCTGGGGAGGGACGGTTGACGGGCTTGGGCAGGAGGGCGGCCGTGAACGTGGGGAGCGTGGTCGTCATTGAGCAACCTGTTTGGGAGGTTGATTTGGTCGGGGAGTGCTGGACCGTGGGCTGCAACTGGAGTGTTGGCGGGTGATGATGATGGTGTGAGATGGTGGTGGGATATTGGCGTTGCGGGCGCTGCTGCACTGGATATTGGGCGGAATATTATTTCATGGCGGGTTTCCTCGTTTTTTTTTTTTTTTTTTTTAAATAAGCTGATTTGAAGGCGTACATACTTGCTGGGGAGGGACGGTTGACGGGCTTGGGCAGGAGGGCGGCCGTGAACGTGGGGAGCGTGGTCGTCATTGAGCAACCTGTTTGGGAGGTTGATTTGGTCGGGGAGTGCTGGACCGTGGGCTGCAACTGGAGTGTTGGCGGGTGATGATGATGGTGTGAGATGGTGGTGGGATATTGGCGTTGCGGGCGCTGCTGCACTGGATATTGGGCGGAATATTATTTCATGGCGGGTTTCCTCGTTTTTTTTTTTTTTTTTCTCAAATACGCTGTTTCTGTGCTTAAAGTGTCGAAGAAGAAAGACGTAATGTTCACGACGAAATCAAATTGGCCGAGGGCATGGCTCCTCCCAAAGAATAGTCATACGTCAAGAACAATCTGGACGACAATTTCTCCCGTCAGATAGTCAAGTCTATGCTCTTAGTTGGCCTTTTGTTGCAAACCGTGAGTTCAACTTGCTTCCCATTTACTGGAAACCACGGTACATGGAGCAGCACAACAGCCGGCCTGCTGGAATTATTGGACAGGCAAAGACAGATACCGAGTCTAGAAGTGATACCAGTACTTTGGAGTTTATATCCATAGGATTATTTGTTCCTCTCCGCCTCTGTCCAATCTGAAGTTGACGGAAGGTTCCCGGCGAAAAATTGACGAACCTGACCATAGCACCTTCACCATGGCATGTCGATGACGTTTGCAAATTACTTGCCTTCATCTGTGCCAGTTTCTTGTCTCGACTCTGCCAACTGCCATAGACTAGCCGTTCACGACTATGCCCCCAGAAAGATGAACAAGGCCTTCTGGCTAGGGATACAAAGACGCTGATTGCGGGTTGTTTAGACGAGGTTCGTTCGAATAGAATACACAGTCGTCGTGTTACTCTGGCGGTTTCGGAAAAGAAATAGACCGGCATTAGGAGCCTATTCATCACCTGTTGTGTGTATCATCACCCATCGCGCATGGGTGCTTGGAAACATTGGCCTTTGATTGAGACGACAAGGTCTCATATATATTACTTTTCTCCAAGAGCGGGTTGTGCCACACTGTAAAGGAAATAGAACATCATATTAAAGCAAACTGCAATTTGAAAAACAAAATGAATGTTGCCTGTGGGCTTTTCGAGCTCCGGAGCCCGCTTGCAAAGGCAGTTTCGACATGACTAGTGCCTGCTATATTCGAAACCACATCTCTGATGCTATCTAACATAATCTTCAAAACTTAGATACATTACCACTGGACGAGATTTTTTCAAATAGTTCCGGCCAAGAAACACGCTATAAGTCATTTGAAATCATCTCATGGTCGAGAGGACAAGAAAGCACGCCGGAATGCGACTGTAAGAAGCCTGCCACTAGAGGGACCTACCCTACTCAATGCTGCTGTGAGATTGAGGAACAAAGAGAAAGAAGGGAAGAGAAGAGAAGAGAAAAGAAAGATAAAATTTCTAATGCGACATATGGATTTCCTTTGATTCCTTTATCTAACTGAAGCATTTTTCCGGAGGGTTGTCTGTACAGGTACATTGTGGTATGGAAGGCAGGAGTCAACTGTTTCTTGCCCTGGTGGACCTTTCGATGGCCAGCCCGAAGGACGAAACAACAAAGCGGGAAAGGAAAAGAAAAAGAAGAAACAAGATGGCAGGTGTAGTAGTGCAAATTGGTTGTACTTCCTAGTATACAGCACCGGACTCGTAAGCTGGAAACATGTAATTCAAGTGCCGGACGAGCTGGCGAATTCACGCCCCATCCCCGGCCGCCAGAGTCCGGTTATGCACATAACCGTGCTTTCTCGCCAAACGCGAACATCAACCACACACAACTCAACGCACCATCACCACCAAACTGGAACCATTACTACCGTGAAGACGATGGCTCCTCTTCGCCGCCAAACATACAGGTAGAAATAGAAAATATGATGTCTTCATCATGTTCCGCCTCATAAGTAGGGTCCAAGCCCGCCTTCACCTCCCACCTCCATACGCCCCTTCTCAACGGCGACACAGCTCGCGCAAGGTCTCGGATCCCCTGAGGATATTATTCTGTGGCTCGGACGCATTCAGCTGCGAGTCCCTGAGGGCCTTGCACCGCGAACATGTGAATAACAGGGCGTTGGTAGAGGCACTGGATGTGATGGTATTGCCGGGCAGGAGAACTGGAAGGGGCCTCAAGACAGTTCGTGAAGGTGAGGATTCTGCTCCCCCCATCGTCTTTATTTCCCCCCTCTGGGCTTTGAAGTACCTAGATCTTCCACTGCACTCCTGTTTTTCAAACCTCCCGAGCTGAAGTCATGCAGTCAGGTTTGTCTGGGGACAGAGGCGGCGCTAGCATCGTGATGCCTCTGCAGGACTGCGTGCTGATATTGTAGTGCCCTGCCAAACACTCGCAGAACAACTCAATCTCCCAATCCACCAGCGGGAGACGTTTCGGAGATGGGATGTAAGTCCATCCCGCCTCACTGGCTAGAAAAGACATTAACATGGACAAGCTCCCCGACGGCACAAACCTAGTCATTGTCGTGTCATTCGGGCTCTTCGTTCCCCCTCGGATCCTGAAATCCGCCAAATACGGAGGTCTGAATGTCCACCCGTCCTTGTTGCCCGAGTATGTTAGACATCTCACCCTGCAATACCTAAGCTAAGCACTGCTAATGAGAAGCCCCCAGCCTCCGCGGCCCGGCGCCAATTCACCACGCCCTCCTCAGAGGAGACACGCACATGGGGATATCGCTACAGACCCTGGATGACAGGGCCTTTGACCACGGGACTATTCTTGCGCAGAGCCCTGCGCCGGGCATACCCATCGCGCCGGACGCCTCGTTCCAAGAGGTCCTGTCAGTTGCGGCGGTCAAAGGCGCAGAGATGCTGATCCAGGGATTGCGGGACGGTCTTCATGTTGCGCCGCAGGAGGACGTGGGCTGGAAAGCGGCCGCGCTGCAAGGCAGGCAACTCGTCCACGCACCAAAGATTACAAAGGCAGACGGACAGATACAGTGGTCTGCGTGGACGGCAGAGCAGTTTGGTAGAAGGGTTAGAGTGCTGGGGTCGGTGTGGACACATGCGGTTAGTGCTAGGGGCGTTAGGAAGAGAGTGATTTTCTTGGATGCTGGGCCAGTGGTACAAGGAGACGTGTTGCGGCAAGGCGAGGAGGGCAGGTTGGTATGCGAGCATGAGGGTATAGGTGAGAAGGGGGCGGGGCGGCATGAGATGAAGGTGGTGCTTCAACAGGATGGCTCGTGTTTGATTGGCATTCATGGTGACTCTTGGATACGCGTTGAGAAGGCCAAGGTTGATGGGAAACCAGAGCAGATGGCTGCCATTGCACTTGGGAGCTTTGTTCGATGAGGCGTGACGACGAAAGCAGCTAGAGACACTAGACAGTAATTGTAACCATGACAAGTTTCAAAATGGGTAATCTCAACGGCTAGACATGGGCGCAAGGACGAATGCACGTGCTGTGTGACGGCATATAATAAATTGTAGTTTGATTTCATCAGAATCTGCTGCTTGGTCCGAACTTCGCCATGTCAACCGGAGAAGATTGAGGGCCAGAACAACACCGATACAGATGTCTTCTACTAATTGTCGCACCAATCGCCCGCCCTGTCATCATGAGATGCAATCCTTCCCTGATACCAGCGTTGAATACGTCTAGCCGGCAAGGGAACTGCCGAGCAGGGTCTTTTGTCACGTGTCGGAATTGCATGCAGGTACAGCACTGACTACCGTGTATTGGGCTGAGGGGTTTGCTACGAGTAGGATATGGATCCGGTACGGAGTATGATTGCAGCAATGGAATGGTAAAATCTCCGCTTCAGAATAGTCATGTATAGCAAGTAATCCAAAGCGCCCGGCATGTCGAAGCCTATACGGAGTTGACGCAAAGATGATAGACGCATCGGCTGTTCCAATGTTCAGGAAAGTTCTGTGCCAGGGGCCAAGGGGGAATTTATGCTAGTCTAGCCATCATACATACACACATACACAGCTAATACGAGTGAACAAAACCTCTGACGAGGTTGGAAATTGCGGATCCTAGGAACAAGTGGCATCTCTACAATCGCTGTATCATTAGAACACGAACGAGTAGAGAAAGACGCAACCAGCTCGAATAGCACCGTCGGTCCACTCTGGCATGCGGGATACGTGGGACGGGTGGGAACGAGACCCTGGTGATAGTAATGGCGACGATGGCTAGAAGGTGGTGCTTCCTGTTGCATATCAATCATTTTTGGTTTTTGGTACGGAGTACATGGCGTGGTGTTCGGCAAATCCCCGATTTAGCAAGGCGTTGAGTTGCCATGCTCGAAAATGAATGCCTGCCGATACTAGCAATACTCCATCGCCTCGCTGGGCTCAAGTGGAGAAAGTCGCCAGCCCAGTTCTAAGTCGACTGCATACCTAGCAGGTAGCACAATACGGAGTAAGTACGCAGAAGCCGGAATTGCATTCTCGTACCGAGTACTCCGTGCCAAGTGAGGAGGATGAGCAAAGAGTGGCAGTACTTTTTTGCGCTTGACAGGTTCTTTGTGGCAGGGCTTGCTACATATCGGCATCGGGCAACCAACATTGCAAAGCGCAGGACAGAGGGCAGAAAAACGGAAGCCGAGCCACAACTCAAGAGAAGGGGGAACGAGTGTCGGTTGGATCTGCCCGGATCGTCGTTCGGTGAGGGCAGAACTATTCCAAGGTTGACTAACAGGCTGAGGAGAAGGGAAAATTTTTTGGTACGGAGTACGGGGCACAATAATCAAGCACACCGCAGCAGGCAGGGGCGAAGAACGGGCAAGGAAGGGGCTATCGACCATTTGGCCCAATCAGGCCGCGGGTATACAGCGCTTGGCTCTTTAGGGACGGGCGTCCGCTCATGTGCACCACTTGTCAGCATCCTGGTCCCATGTGGTCCGGCCAAGCCCATTTATCATTTATCCTGCCAACGTCAAGTCACCATCGAATCATCGCAAACTGACCTCGCCCTGGTAGTATCTTCCATTAGAAGCCCTCGACTTTACCCTCAAGACTCTGACGATGAATCATGCCCGGCGGCCAATCCATACCGGGATGACGCGGCCACAGCCCAATCAAAAACATCGACAGCAGGACCCATTCGAATATTCCACACGTAATGTGCTATAATTATACAATCCACATCGTGGTAAATGTCAATGGAGGGCAGGCAGCTTCGACTCGGCCAAGGATATCTCATGCAAAATTCAAACGTCGTCCAATCAACCCCACGTTCCTGCATTAGCGGTGACTGATCGAGCGTGGCCGAAAAGCCATTCACAAGCAATTGCGTTGACGAGGCTTTCACTAGTTACTCTAAGGTAGCCCAATAGACTGCGGCTGGAGACCACATTTTTGGCTCCATGGACCCGTTCGCCATGGCCGAGGTACCCAGATTCAGATTCCTTCGCGGCCAAAGTGTCGACAACGGGGTCGACTTCTGCCGCTCCGACACTTTTGAGCGAAGACTGTCAAGACAAGTGGGCTGACGGTCCAATCCTTCCACTTCAAGCTTGCTTATGTTTGGTCCAATTTCACGGAGTACAAGTGTATGGAATTCTTCGATATTGATATGTGCGTGGAAATTGGAGTCTCTCAATGTTCGTATTGCACAGTTTACTTGCCTCCCCCCTCCGTCACTCAGACGTTTTGCAAGCTTACAAGACGTTGTCCACAAAATGCCTGGCCAGCCTATACGTTAACTAACATTCTGTAGACTATACCCATGTCATGCACATTGACTCCCAACATCCGGAGATGGACGCAGCTGTGGAGTCCCTTGGCCTGGCTGGCCACCGCCATGCCCAGCAGTTTTCTGCCTCCATCAATCAACAGCCCTTGTTGACCATCTCATATCTACTGTATTATGTATGGGGTATACATATTTGTGTAATTTCACTCAGCCCAGTAGTACTACTAGTACGGAGTGTGCCGTGTGGGATCCCATCATATCTCCTGGACTTTTGGCTGATAACCTTACCCGCGAAGTAGACCCCCCAACCCCTTCGGTCCAACGCCGAGAAGATGGTTCAAAAGCAGCTGTCCACCCAGCCTTGGTTGGGTTTTGGTTTTCTCCTTGGCCCTACCCATCCTGTACACTGGTCGTTTGTCTTGTAGCAGAGGCATCCTTAGTCCTTTGCCTCACGTTGGCACTCAAGAGCACCCTGCTCGTCCTCTGACGTATCGTACGTCGTAGTCATTCGTTACTCATTGTTTCGCCCTTCACATTCGTTAATTGCAAATCAAAACGAAAAAAAAAAAAAAAAAAAAAAAAAAAACATAATGGCTCCGTCACTCCTTTCCTTGGGCACTGCGGCTCTGGCCTTGGCCGGCAACGGTGCCGCTGTCCAATGGTATCTCGAAGACACCTACGACTCGACCAACTTCTTCGACAAGTTCGATTTTATGACCTTTGACGATCCTAACACAGGATTCGTCAACTACCTGAGTCGTACGGACGCTATCGATGGCGGACTTGCCACGGTTAAGGATAAAGAGGTCGTCCTTAAGGTTGACAGCAAGTCGATTGTTCCAACAGGCCGCCGTGGTCGTGACAGTGTGAGGCTGGAGTCCAAGGCGAAACTTAGCCAGGGCCTTATGATTGCCCGATTCACTCACCTGCCTGAGAGTGCGTGTGGTACTTGGCCTGCCTTGTATGTCGTATTCCCGCTTCATGTCATGCTTTTCACACTGACTGACAGTTGTATTAGTTGGACCGTCGGTGATACCTGGCCGCAGGATGGCGAGATCGATATCATCGAGAATTGGAACCTCCGGGGCGTCAACAATCCTGCCTTTCACATGGCTAACGCAGCCACCTTTGGCAGTTGCAGGATTGATGGCGCAGGCCAATCCGGCGAGATTATCACCTCCAACTGTGACAATCAATTCTCAGACGGCAGAACCCAGTGGCCTAACCAGGGCTGCGTAGTTAAGGATAATGGTCCTTCGGGTGGTAGTGGTGGCGTGTGTAAGTCGATATGCAAAGCCTCGACTTCCTGTGTGAGATAGAATTTGGCTGACTCTTGAGTGAAACTAGATGCCATGGAGTGGACCAGCGACTTCATCAAGATCTACTCGTGGTTCCCAAACCAGGTTCCCTCAAACATTGATTCTAGCTCTCCCGATACTTCTCTTTGGGGTCAGCCGACCATATACCTGAGGAAAGATCTTTGCAATATCGACAAGATCTTCAAGCCCCAGCGAATTGTCTTGAACATTGCTTTGTGCGGTAACCCCGTTGAGTTTTCAGCATGGGAGGGCACCTGCAAGCAGAGGCATGGTGACAGCTGCCGAACATACGTTGCCGAGAACCCTGCTGCCTTTGACAATGTCTACTTCCAGATTCAGGATATCCGTATCTTCAACCAGGACGCCCCCAAGACTACTTCCACCACCGTGGCGTCGTCTTCCACATCCAAGTCTGAGATTTCCACAACCTCGGCCACATTCAGCACCAAGGCCTCGTCCACGTCCACGTCTGTCACTTCTACCATCTCGGCCACGTCGGGCTTCAATAGTTCGTCTTCTGCTATCTCTTCCGAGCTTAACACCGCCAACACATCTAAGCAGACTACTGTTGCTACGTCAAGTGTCCAGAACACCTCGACCTGGAAATCATCTAACTCAACCTTGAGCACTGTGTCCAAGAGCGCTGGTTCTGCTAGCATCAGCATTACCTCCAAAGCCTCTGACTCTACGGTTCCGACCGTTGCTACCCAGCTTCCCGTCACCTTCTCATCCTCGGTGCCCAGCTTGTCAACGAGGTGGCCCAACTCCACAATTGCCTCTTCCGTTGAGATGACCACCTCGACTGTGTATACCACCTCTACTCGCACCATCACCAGCTGCCAGCCAACCGTCACCAATTGCCCCGTTGGCAAGGTCACCACTGTGACTGTCCCCCTGTACATCACCATCTGCCCCGTCTCTGCTGTTGAGACCAAGACCCCCAGCCCCAAGCCCACCAAGACTTCCGGCAACGGTGGTAACGGCCCTGAAAAGACCACCATCACTACCAAGGTGACCAAGACTTTCACCATTACTAGCTGTGCTCCCACCATTACCAACTGTCCCGTTGGTAAGGTCACTACCGAAGTCGTCACCACCACGTACTGCCCCGGCGAGGAGACGGCGGTACCAACTGGCTCTAATAGCGGTAACGGTAACGGTAGCAATAGTGGCATTAATGGCAATGGTGGTAATCACGGTAACAGTGGCAATAATGGCAACGGCGGTAACAATGGCAATAGCGGCAAGGGCTCTGACAAGATCACAATCACTACCAAGGTGACCAAGACTTTCACCATTACTAGCTGCGCTCCCACCATTACCAACTGTCCCGTTGGTAAGGTCACTACCGAAGTCGTCACCACCACGTACTGCCCCGGCGAGGAGACGGCGGTACCAACTGGCTCTAATAGCGGTAACGGTAACGGTAGCAATAGTGGCATTAATGGCAATGGTGGTAATCACGGTAACAGTGGCAATAATGGCAACGGCGGTAACAATGGCAATAGCGGCAAGGGCTCTGACAAGATCACAATCACCACCAAGGTGACCAAGATCTACACCATCACCAGCTGCGCTCCTACTGTCACTAACTGCCCTGTCGGTAAGGTTACCACCGAAGTCGTCCCCACCACATACCGCCCGGGCGAAGAGACACATCCCACTGGAGCAACTGGTCCCAAGGGCGGATTCACCGCTCCGCCCCCTTTCCATCCCTCCAAGACCATCATCTACAATACTCAGACCATTGTTCCCGTTCCGAAGCCCGCCAAGCCCAGCGGCGGAAACAACAGCACCTCCAACGGCACCAGCATCGCCCAGCCTCGACCCAGCGGCTCCCAGGTCTGTGTCGGGCCCTCGTGCGGCGCGGAGCCCAGCAGCCCTGCACCCAATACCGGCAAGGGGGGCTGCAACGGTCCCAACTGCCCTCCTACTGTTGTCAGCGGTGCTGCCAAGCAGAGTCTGAGTGCCCTCGTTGTCCTCGGTGCCGTCGCCGCTATGATGCTGTAAACTTTTAATTGGGGATGCTTGAAACTTCGATAGGCTTGGAATTTCGTACTTTGCAGTTATCGGCTCAACCGACATGGGATGGGGGAAATCTGATTCTGGTATTCTGGTGCAATTCTACTTATATATTATCTCCTTTTATTCACGGGGTTTTATGATTCCCTGGCCATCGGTTTGCTCTTTTTTGTACATGTGAGAAGCAGGGCGGTTTAGACGAACGAAATACACTTAAGAATTAATAAAATATGACGGACACTTGTCTGTCCGAAACGCGGGAACACGCGCTCATAGACCAATGCTATTAATTTTTCTGTTGATTTTATTTTTTCTTCTTTTTATTTATTTTTATTTTTATTTTTTTTAATTTTTTTTGGCCTATCCAAATAATTGTGCAAGCATTACATCGGGTAGGGCCCAGTGATAGTGTGGCTGTACTTGGGCCAAGCCAGAGAACCGCAACAGTTTTGGCAATCAAGTTGGTCCATTATATTGAGCAAGTTGCAGCAGCATCATGTCACCGGAACAAGACGGGAGTTTGGGCAAAACTTGCCCAAGCTCCCGAGGTGCTATCGACATCGTGTATTGATGCTGTGGTTAGCACTATTATACACCAGGGTATCATCAAAGTCGTCTCGTCTTCGTCAGCTCGCCCCTAGCCTCGACCGTATCCATTCGGACCACAAGCACAAATCTTCCATGTATTCCAATACCTTGCCCATCTTTTGTCTCGTGAATTCTTTCCTCCTGCCCTTGATCTCTCCGTTGTCGTTGCAGTCTAGAATATTCTCATCCACAATCTCCACGATGCCGCCTTCCAGGATCTTGAGGGAGATGTTCGCGGTGGAATTGCCCATGGGGAAAACAACCTGCATGTGGGGCGCCGGATGAACCCAGAGAATGACATCTAGATCTGTATCGGACGCATGGTCCACACTGAATGCGTCTGGTTCCGGCCCATCCATGTACTCTGCCAGACGATCCTTTTTGGTCTTGATATGTGTTGGCCGCACCTGGGTAGGGGTTTCAGCAGGCTTCGTCTTTGAACCGAAGCTGTTTTCGAGCAGGGTCGATAAAAAAGCGTACTGTCGCAAGAGCGGCAGCATGTCTAGCAATTGGCGGGGGTGGGAGAAGGGCATCTCAGAAACGGTTTGTGAATAGATGGGTTTGTAAATATAGAGAGTATTGTTGTGGTTTGCGACAGACTCGGTTCGATTGGTCTTCAAAACGCGGACTAGCCTCTGCCGTACTATGGCTCGGGATTCACTGGGGTCGACTTTCACCCCGGACGGGAAGGGGAAGAGCAGGCTGTCAAAAGTCGGTGGCGACGGGGGATGACCACGCTGACCCAGCTCATTGACGATGTTGGGGGGGTTGACGTTGGCATACATGTAGAGACGTGCCCAGTCGTTCTGTGGCAGAACAACCGGCGGGTCGAATGTGACGGTGAACATGACTCTGGGTACTCTTGTGGTGGAAAGATCAGCCTGTAAGAGGTCCATCCCAGCATCCTTGTTATCTTCGGACTGTGGTAGTGAGACATTGTCAGGCTCCTGCCAGTCCAGAATGGTCTTTGTAGGATCAATCATCGCATCCTGCTTGGTAATCTCTTTCGAAATCCAGTTCTCAGAGACTCTCACAGGTGGGACCCCCATGCCATCCAGCGGAGCACAGCCGAGAAGAAGGGACCAAACTTTGTCACTTTCGTAGTCGTACGTATACACGCCATCGGCTACGGGTGGCATAAACCGAAGCTCCCTCCAATATTGTATGGCGAGTCCAACTGTATCTCTGTCGTGCATCACCGGCCGCCCATGCATGGAGCACATTACCATATTTGAGAGGTACTTGTCTGATTTTGCCTTCATATCTTGCTCCTCGCGCAAATTTGACAGATCCCACTGGTATAATCTCTCAAGGCTAACATAAATGCCAGCCAAGGCTTCGTGGCAGTCGAGTCCTGGCACGATGCTAAGCTTGTCCAAGCTGGCCAAACGTTCAAAGTTGGAAGCAAAGTTCTCCAGAGTCTTCGTCAGTGGGCTTTGCCCCGGGAGCAGTTTCAGGTCTTTAAGTAAGATTCGGCCTGCAGCATCCATGTGTTTTGATACAGACGAGGCAGATCCGTGGTAGGCCAGGGAAACGCTCTGGACAATATTATTGTCAAGCACAATATCAAGTGCGATGGCTGATCCAGCAATAGCCAGTGTTCTCGTCTTGCGTCCGTCGGGGGTCCTTTGCTCTTCGGATAGCAATTCTAGGCCAATGCGCTGCGCGAGACGTTCGAGACTGGCTTCGCTCACGAGTCCTTTCTTGGCCTGCCAAAATGCATTAGTTTCGGCGCAAATCCAACGTGACGGCGGGACACACTAACACTCAACAGCGTCAAGATTGTGTCGAGGCGCTTCATCTTGTCATCTTCATTGGCAAGCGCAGCCCCAATTGCGTCCAATCCACCGACACCCACGTTATCCAGTCCAATGTCGAAGCCGCCGCCCATTCCTAGTGCGCCCATGGCAGCGGCAGTTGAAGGACTATCAAAGTTGAAGGCTCCCATGCCCGTGTGGCCCATGAGCGTCGAGGTGGCAGGGGATTTCTTGACTTGCTGGGGAGACGATCCAGGGCCTCGAGGAGAAAAGGCAGCTCGAGCCGTGTTGGAGAATGGCGTCGAGACGGGAGGAGTCGCGGCCGCGAGCTGCGACGGAGTGCGGCCCTGCTGCGAGGGCGCATGCTTCATAGGCGTTGGAGTGGCCATCTCGACAGAAAAGTATGTCTTGTGCAGGTTTCTTGCGTATCGAATCGCGGCGCAACGGTCGAGCAGCAGGACACGAGGCACCGCGCTCACCTTCCCGGCCGCAATTCAGGTCGTAGGATGGCGGGAAGGGTTCGCATCAGCTCGTAGGGGCTCGCGTCGAACCAGAATTGAGATGTTGCGGGAACGATTTTGAGAACAATATTGAAAAAGACGTCGGAGAGACGTAGCGTCTGTATCTGCGTCGCGTTGCGGTGGTCAACGGCAGGATGTATGTATGCATGTTCAATGTTGCCGTCCAATCTCCTCTCCACTTCGAATGCTAGCTTCTGCCAGTCAGCGGCCGAGACCCACCCAGGGAACCCTGGCGAGGCTCAAGCTCAACTGCTCTCAACTGCTCGACTCGAAGCTCTCAACAACTCGAGAAATACCACGTCCAGCTCCGGCAGCAAATTCTGCCGCTGCAATGTCATCATCAGCTATCAATATTGCGCGGCGGCGCTCCATCCCCGAGCGGTCCATCAGAGTCCTCGTCTCTCCCACGCCGGTAACCTTTGCAGAGCGGCGCTCGGTTTTGCAAGTCTTGGAGCAATATGGACCTGTCGAAGTCTTCAAGATGACGCCGGTAAGTCATTGCATTTCCTCTAGTCTTGCCTTCAGTTCGCCATTCACCCGTTCACCTTGCCCCAAGATTCTAACCCGACATGCTTGTATAGGGCTACCATGCAAACTTCATATCGGTAACCAAGGAGGCCGCCACAGCAAGCAAACTTGTCGAATATAGCCCTCTTACTTATCACATCCCCGTCAATGAAATAAATGCCGACGTGTGTACCGCCGATTTGGACGAGTCGGAAGGTCTGAATAGCCTCAAAACCAATCAGCCGTCTATGACAACTGCACCAGACCAGCCACCACCCCTGGTCACTAAGCATGTCTTCACATCGCACGCCGCATCGAGCCGTCAACAACAGAGGCAGTTCACGCTAGAAATCTTCCCGGCCCCAGATTACAAGCACAAATTTGCCATGACAGGGTCGCCACTCCATCAGTCTTGGCCAGAAGCTTATCGCAATGACAAGTCGTTCCTGGCCGCGACTTTGAAGCAATCGCTGCCTCAGACCATGCCTTCAAAGGGTCTGGCGCACTGGCTGTTCGATGTGGGGGGCAATAACGCCTCTGAATCAGAGCGTAAAGCAGAGCGACTGCAACTGAAGGGATGGATGCCCAGCAGAATGAAGGAGTGAGCAGCCAACCCAGGCACTTTTCTGTTCTGCGTGGGCATGTAGTATGCAATGCATATTCAGCTACTCGGTACATGGATGGGCATGGTGCTACGCTACGCTACGCTGCGGAGTACGCCATTGACCACTCGGACTGCCTTCCAATCCCTCGCAATGGTCAAAAGTTAGTTTGTTTGTCGTCTATCGCTGAAGAAGGAACTTTTCCCATGCCCCGCAACACCAATCACGAATGCCGCGACAATTGGGAAACCTCGCCACGCCCTACATAGTCCGGACTGCATACCTGGACGTTTCGAAACACGCATGCTGAATACATACACCACCATCTGTGTGACAACTCACAAAAACCTTGAGTACTCGTGGTGACAAGACGGTTCACAACAAGACACACGTTTTTATGCGTCCAACCAGGAAAGGGCCTGGTGCAGCATAATGGCACAAGTGGGCAAACAACTCTGCACGCACCGATCAAAGCATCATGACTCTTTTTTATTGTGGCCAGGGGGAGGCCTCAACGCAAAGATCCACAGGAACAAGCCGCTGCGACGTCCTTCCATGTTTGTTTATCCTTGAGCAGCGCAGCGCAGCCTTGGCACCGATCAAACGAAAAAACCTTGATATCCACCTTTTCGTTGATCGGCTCTCGTCGACGAGTGTGATGGGCTGTGTGGTTTCGCGGGAGCTGTGCCACAGTCCCTCAGCTCATCTGCCTCCACAAGGTTGGCTTCCCCAAGAGCGACTAGCCAAATGAAATCGGTCCATCGCGCATGCATGGACGGCTCAATGAACCAGCCCATGTGGCGTGGGCTCGAAATCAGGGCAGCAAACAGACCCACCGCCAGCTTCGGTTCCTTTCGATTGCTACGTCACCCCCGGCTCCCAAAGAGTTGGAATGCCAACCTTTCCAAGACAAGACCAGGAACACTAGCACTGGGTGACCGGCTTCGTCTCTGCATCACCTACCGGGTTCGGTGCGACTGCTCTCAGACCCAAGACGTGCAAGGGTCGTCAGCTGCTGTCGTATGCCGAGATGACGTCGCAGAGTCTGGAATGGGTCAAGGGTTGGGCTTTGAAGCGCCCCAGAAGATGGAGCATCCGACCGCCCGTGCCTTATGAAACATTGTTGATTTACATATATGCCTGCTAGTTCCCCGGCCTGGTTAGCACGACAGTTTTGTCTAGGCATACCTCTCTACCGTCGGTCGTGAACGTTTGTTCTGTGCAACGTCCCCATAACAGCTTCTCCCAACCGGCGCTCTGTCTTGACAGGAATAACACCCAAGCAAAACCACACATACCTATAACAGACGCGAAATCGACTTCAAGATGGGCTTCGGCAGGTTCATTCACCACATCGGCACATTTCTGCTCTTCGTGTCGTTTGTGCTTCTCATCGTCGTGGACATCACAGCCCCTGTGATTAACCACCTCTCGATAATGAAGGTCGACCTCGGGAGAAACCGTGCTGGAGCTGATCAGGTCACATTTGGCACCTTTGGTTACTGCCTTCGAGGCATAGAGTGAGTCTGCATCCATTCGTCTACCTGAGACAAAGCTCGGGGGAACTGCTTGCTGACTCTTGGCCCGGACAGTGGTTCCGATGAATGCACTCACTCCAGGATTGGCTATGACCCTGCCGGTTTGATGAACCGCCTTGACGGCAGCGACTTTGGCGATGCCTCTGCCAGCACCGCCAAGGGCCTCACGCGAGTTATGGTTCTGCACCCTGTGGCAACGGGCCTGTGCTTCATCGCCTGCCTTCTCTGCATCTTCACGGGTACCGTTGGCGCCTTCTTGGCCTCCCTCGTGTCGCTGATTACGTTTGTCGTCACCTTGGTAGCCATGGTCTGTGACTTTGTGGCCTTCAGCATCATCAAGCACGATGTCAATCAAAACGGCGTCAGCACGGCCAGGTGGGGTCCCGGTATCTGGCTCATTCTCGTCTCCGCCATCTTCACCCTCCTTGGTGCCGCCGTCGTTTTTGTCACCTGCTGCTGTGCTCGCAAGAAGAAGAACTCTGGGCGCCAAAAGGAGAACTGGAATGAAACTACCCCTGCCAGCGGCGGCCGACGTCGCTTCTGGTAAACGCGGCGTGTGCCTCGAATACAAAGAAAGGGTCGGCGCAAAGCGGGCCACTGACGAGAGCTCATGATGACGAAGTTTGGATCTAGCTTCCATTAATCTACGGTGAAACTATGAGAGAGTGGTGGTAATGTGACGGAAGTGCAACGTCATTACTGGGGCCAATGACAATGGTGCAGCTTTTTTTTTTTTTCGTCTTTTAATTTTCGGCCTTGTCGTAAAATGTGCTCATGTTGTCTGCTGCGGCAGCAAGCATGCGTCGAGACATGATATGATATCCCTTGCTATTTCTATGCTCGGTTCCCTGTAACGCAAGTACATATTATGAATATACATATATATATATATTTTTATATACCTGCCTATATCCATGCAAACCAACAGAACCGTGCTGCAATGACAAACCACTCACCACTCCCCCTAGTCCCAATCCTAGTCAACGAGTCTAATCAAGCTCAAGCCATCCCACAACGGTGTCAAGAATGACTCTAGTCTCTTCTCACCGACAACCTGATCGTTAAACTTCCTCACAGCCTCAATGTGCAAATTCCACTTCCCCGCGTCCTCCATTTCACGATCCGTCCTAGACGGGTCCGCGACGTGGCCCCTGCGCAGAACATTGTCCGCAATGATCAAGCCTCCCGGTCGGAGGAGGCGGTTCTTGCTTCCGGGCTGGGAACTGGCCAGAATAATCGACAAGTACTTCGAGTAGCCGGGCTTATCGGCGTCGAGAAAGATGATGTCGTAGGGAGTAGAAGGGCTCACCTTGGGCAGACTAGTCGGCGCGCAGGTCAGTTTCTTCCCTTTAATGTCCCCTGTTCTGACCTCAAGTCACCGAACAAGAACGTGCCAGCATATTCCGGTCCAAATACCCCAGCAGGGTTTTCTACCTCGCACAACGAGCTCAAGATTCACAAATGACGCGCTCCAAAGGGTGGGGAGGGGGCAAGAAACACTCACGTCTCAGCGGCATCGCCCACAATGATTTCAACATTATTGATGCCTTCCTTTGCCAAGGCGTCTTGGGCGATTTCTGCCAACTCGGGACTGTACTCGAGGCCGGTGACGAGGCCGTCTGGCCCCGTGGCGTGGGCCCAGAGCATGGCCGAGTAGCCGACGTAGACGCCGACTTCGAGAACTATTTTCAACAACCCATCCGCATTAGCTGGCTCCGAAACGGCAACATCTGGAATACATGCATGTACATGGTGCTTTTACGAGTGGTGGGAAGCACCGGGATATCGACTCTTCCCCGAGTGCAGCTTTTGCGACGGTGTCCAACAGGGATAAAGAGTACACGAACGGGAAACACAACTCACCCCTCTTGGCGCCGATGGACCTGGCCAGGAATAAGTGCAGCTTGCTCTGGAAATTCGAGCTCAGCATTTCCGAGTCCTGCCTGCTCGCAGAGGCGTGCGCATGGTAGGCCGTGATGTGTGCCGGCAACGGGGTCGAATGGGCGTCGGCATATTCGCTGACCTTGTCGCCCGACGCTTGGTCGTCGAAGAGTCTGGTGTAACCGCCCTTCATGGTTGCTAGGCCAGTTGCTGCAATATGTATGTAGCTAATGGGTACCGGGGAGGGTAGGATTCGCGTGGCAGGGTTGGTGACGATGGATGGTGGTGGTATCAAGCGGCGAGTTGGATTGAGGAAAACGGCTGATTGGAGTAGAATGGATCGTCTCGGTATTTATCAGATGGCTCGGTCCGCCCTTATTTGACCGTTGACAGTTATGCCTCTGTTGAAAAGTGTCTCTCGGATTCCGAGCCTATACGGATGTTGGGATGGGATGAGGGAAACTAGCGGCAATTGCATGGCGCTTTGGACATCTCCACAATTGGTGATGATTGGGAGAGAAGGGGGGGGTCCGTTGGCCGGGGCTGCCGGGGACCGGGTTTCTGTGTGCGTGTCTGTTTGGCAGTGTTGTATGTATGGCTCCTTGGGCATGGTTGCGATTGTTGGTGTGAGGTTAAAGACGTGGAATATGGAATCGAGAGCCGTCGAGTCTAGATTCCAAAGTTGGCCATGTACACAACCATTAACGTCAAGAGGCATTTCGTTTTCGATCAGAATAGCACCCGTCAGCTTAAAGACTCGCAGCAATAGTCCCTCGAATTGCGCGGTCGGAGATTTCCAATATCAACGATACCTGTGCTCGATGCTCGGGACACAAAAGTCCATTTGGCGGGTACCGACTCAACCATGTCTCTGTGCCCATCGTCTCTCTCATTCTCGGGAAATCAAGTCAAAGAAAGAGACCAACCCCTGAGCTGCTCTCATTCCAAGCATAGAATGGAGTCGCGCCGTCTGACGCGGCACCAAGTATCCTTCACAGACAAGAGGTGGTTGGCGATGATGATGCACACTGGCTGCTCCAGAACCCAAAAGTCTCCGCCGACAGCTACACCAACTCTCCGTCATCGAATCATCCGCCATCCGTCATCCGTTACAGCAGTCACGTCTTTACATCTCGGAGATAGTCGTGTTTACGCATGACGCGCCGCCAGCAATCAGCGCAGTTCTATATTGCAGTCGACACGAACGAGTCTGTCAAATTGACAAGTTAGTCTGTTTTCTGGCTCTAGGCTTGCAAAAAGGTTCCATGTCGCGTCGTTAACACGAGGGGCAAGGAAGGCCGGGGGGGGATTTGGGTAACACTGGAAATGGAACAATTTTGACTTCTTTTTTACGGTGATGCCTGTCTTAAACTATGACACGTGCTTGTGGCTAGTGTTGCTCAGATCTTGACTACCAGGCCCCTAGTTCAGAGTTCAGGGACACAGGCATCATTGTTTCTCTCTTCCTTCGAAAAGGGGAAGAGGACTCACAAGAAGTTCATGAACTAGCCGGGTATTATTCTTAACTCGCGCGTACACGTTTATCATACGTCACCTAAAAAATACAACCAGGAGAAAATCTTCCACCTCGAGCCCGCACACACCACACTCCCATCAAGCATCACTCCCCTAATGACAAGCCCAAATCTTCGGATTACCACAAAGCAACAACATCCCCATCCCCCCCCCCCCCCCCTCCCCACAC